TCTGACAGCGTTCACATGCTTGCAGCCTGGCAGTTTTGGTTTTTCCTGTCAGATACTCATAGGTGGCCAGTTAAACTAGGATAACAAATACTTTCTAAATAGTCTGTACTGGATATTGATTCTATAACATTTTCTGATATAGTGTGTAGTGTCAAGCTCCAGCTCTGTAAATATTTCAGCCCTGTGTTCTCAGACCTCTTTATTCCCATTTTAAATGACTTATAATCCTTTATGTTATGAACTGGATGTCATAGCATAGACTGAATAGATTTTTGGTGTGATTATTTGATGAATTACTGATTTACTGGCAGATCATTGAATAATGAGCTACAGCGCAGAGTTCTAGCTAATCTTGTTAAAAAGGAATTAATATTAGCGGCAACAACTTCATGGAATTGTTCGATAAGACGTGATTATATTACCTAATATAATCCCTTATAGCACTAAAAGGAATACAACTACTTTGCCCTATGGGAACACTGATTCTGTCTCGCTGATGAACAACTGTATAAGCTTAAATTTGAAAAAACATTGTCCATTGCTAAATTGTGTAAAGATCCCCATGCAGTATTTGCCATCTATATTCCACTTGCTTTTGCAGCACAAGGCTATTTTAGGGACGCAGAACCTTCCCCAGGAAGCACAAGTCAGAGGACCCCCCTGGGCACAGACACAATCACGCACTATGAGGAATTTCGAGACACCAATTCACCTGACTGTAGGTTTTCAGACCACATGAAGAAACCTATGCAACAAATGGGGAGTATGCAAAGGCAATCTGAACCCCCAGAGAGCTAATCCCATGAGCCACCATGTACTCACCATATTTACCCTAACATAACAGCTCAGCCGCTGTAATTAAAAGCAGAATAACTCAGGAATTACTTCATTTGTCATCTTTCTGAAGCCCTTGAAAAGCACTAGGCTCCACTTGCAGTCTCAGTCAAGACTCTGCTAACCAGGACTGTCAATCTTGATCACCTTGTGCAGGACATAGAAAAATAAATGTGCATCTAAGTATCTAATTTCCTTACTCCTCCACATACTCAAGCTCTGCATCAGCCTGCTTCAATCTCTACTTGGATGGTTTGCATCTTATCTAGTAAACGGTTTTCAGCACTTCCAGCATTAAAAGCTGATTGCTGTCCTGAATCATCACTGACTAAAGCGATACACTCACCCAGCTGTGTTCTTTAGTACGTGCAAGCGGGGTGGCCTTCCCCAACGGCAAGATTTGGGTTTTCATTCTTTTCCCAAGGTCTCCACTACAGCGCCCCAAACTGTGGGACAGTTCGGCAGCCAATGAAACACAGCTTGTCCCTGTTCAAACCTCTGTTATTATCATAGTCTACGTATGTCATATATCTTTATCCACAATAACCCTCTGTTTGTTCCTGCCACTCCCACATCACCTGAGAAAGTCCTAGAAGCCAAAGGAACTGGCCTTTGCCCGTGCGGAATATGCGGCGCTGCCATTGGCTGTCCAGATGAATATTGTAGACTAACCTAACAGAGGGCAGACCGCCAGCTGCGCCGCCTCACTGTGTAAGGCTAGTTACAAGTGTGCACCTTCAGGAACACTAATGGATTTTGTTTCCATTGTATATTCCTGTTCCAGAATATCAGACCACACGTTTCACGCATTCTATTTTAGACGTAATGTTCTTAATAGCAATACACGTAAAACACTGCCGAGTCAGTTACTTTGCTTACTGTAAACTTAAATTCACAGGGAACCACAGGCTGTCTTAATTCATGGGTCTCTTGTGCAAGGCTGTTTTAACAGCGGCGCATTTATTAGCTCCCTAAACAATTTACCTGCAGTATCTATTCTTTGTTATAATGTGCTATACTTCTTAAGTTCCGAGGACTGATGTTGTTTCCGTCTCAGCTCTTCTACGAAACCCTACAAAGCACCCTAAATAAACATCACTCCACCTACACGCAGACTCACACATTTTCGCATAGCAAACTCCATTAGGGTGACCACATAATCCATGTCATCCCGGACACTTTGAGCTAGGACAGGATTTGCAACCTACCATTTCAATTAAAAGGACCTGGATTTCACTTAAGTACCGAGTTCTTGCTGTGTGCTGATTGGTCAGTCTCCTATAATCATGCACGTGTCACTAATGTTAATGTGAACAGCTGGATGAATCTTTCAGTCAAAGAAACAAACCTGTCAAAGCACGAGAAGAACTGAACTATTTAACCAAGCACAGGAGCCTTTCGGTTTTAAGGTAGTTTGTAAAACCTGAAGTAGCTCAAGGTGTCCGGGATGACATGGATTATCTGGTCACCCTAAACTCCATGGATGTGCCATTTAACGTGATTTATCATGCAAATCGCCGAGGGATAGTAAAGACCGTCCCTTCATTGTCATTTTACAGGGCGTCTCATTTTGCCGCTAGTATTTGGAGTATTTATACCTGTTGCTACATGAAGCCTGATTTAATAACATCTGTTGATATAAAGTAGATGATTAAACTTACTAAATTAAATGAAAAATATGCAATTAGTATAATAACATTACACATTTTCAGATAGTTGCCTGGCTTTTGTAAATGTTTTTTTTTTATTACGTAATGCCGTCTTTGACCAGAGGTTAACCCCACATTCCTAATGACATTACCATCCATCCGTCCATCCATATTCTTAACGATCACCCTGGACAGGATTCCGGGGGTCTGGATCTTATCCCAGGCTGCACGGATCACACAGCGGGGACACACCTTGGATAAAATGGTACCCCTTTACAGGGTACATGCACGCGCACACACACATGCAATCTGTGCCGAAAATCGACTTTATCATTTCTGTTAGTAACTGCCAGTTCACGCAAGAAACCTACGCACAACCACATAAGATACATACATGTATAAGCGTCAAAGACTTTCTATGCAAACAGGAATATGCAGGATTTTCCAGTGTTTCTATATGACATTATTTTAGTTCAGCCTTCTGAATTTCAGCCTTGAAGGCTTCACTATACTTTCGGTGTAAAGTTGCATTGTCTGCACATGTCATGTCAGGGAATCAGGAGTCCTACTTTGCAATTGAAAGCATAGCACTAACACCAAAGGAACAAAACATCTCACGTTTAATACTGATTCTGACTTCTTTGTAATAACAATAATTAAAAACAAAAACAAATAAAACCTAATGCACGGGGTGACCCCCGTGACACCAAACAAAATCCATTACACATTGCGACATCAAATTTCTGTAACAGATATTTATAATGGGGGATCGTGGAGCGAGTGGATGCTGCCCCGCTGAGTTCAGGGCTGCCCGGTCTCCGGTGTTCGGCGATCAGCTACTTTCCCCTCCCTAGAAAAGACTCTAGAGTCCAACTACCTCTGGCTGAGAGAAACGGGGGGTGACGGACTGAGTGACAGAGAGTGAAAGAGCGTGACAGAATTAAAAAGGACACCGACTAAGTGGTGGAAAACATTATTTTGTGCGCACCCCCAGCGAAAAAATGGCAGCTTACACATTAAAATGCTTGCGAAGTCTCGGACGCTAGAACTGCGGTAAAGATTAATAGTTTGTTTAGTTAGCTAGCTATAGCAAATACTTCCTAAAAGTTATTATTAGAACATGTCAATAAGAATTTAAATACCTATAACATAAATGTGTTTTTTTATATAGAGAGTAATTCACACGGAGGCACAGTGCGATTAAAGGAAAGTAATGGAAAATGACTCACAATCATCGGACCCAACAAACAGAGAGGCACCTTCCAAAAGAGGTGAGAATTGTGAAATTAGGTACTTTCTTACACGAATCTCTGGTGGGTGACGTCGACAACAGTGACAAAACATATAAGCTCCTAACATTTAAACAATATAAAAAATATGCATATAATACTACTGGTGCATTTAATGCCGTTATATTAGTTTGTTTGTTTGTTTGCTATTTCTGTAACCAATATTTCTGTATTGATACAACAATGATTTCTCCTCCGTAATGTAAGGCCCTATAGTGTTGTGACATTTTGAAACACTGTACAGTAACACTGTGCAGTAAGACCTCTATAGATACGATTAAGTGACATACAGTTTTATTAGTGGATATGTGAACAAAAAAAAATCTTAACTGAAGCCAAGGCAAAATCCAGTATACAATTTCCAAAATTGTTACTTGCTAACCGTTAACTCAGAAATTTTGACAATGAATAGTATCCTGCTTAAGAATTATATATAGTTGATGGTTTGATTTAATAGCATTTAATAATGTTTTAAATAATATACAATAATGTTGCCATGTGAAAATATTGGTTTTGAAATTGTCATATTTACTGCTGTTACACGTTATTTCTGACATTTTTATTACAAGAAATATATCTCCCGTTTGATCGCCTGAGGCTTTAAAATATGTAATGATGATTGTAAATGACGCTAGTTTCATGGTTTGCCATGAATTACCACAAACAGCTGCTGATAATTGCTGCACTGTTTATATGCCGTCAGAATGAGCTGTAATGTTGCGCGCAGTGTTGTACTGGTCCTCTCTCTTTTGCAACAAAACACCACAATGCGCTGTTAAATGCGCTTACTCCCCTAGGACGATTTGACGTACTTAACCCCGTCGACCGCACAAACTCTTGGCTCAGTTGGCATTTCAACGTTAAGACAAACTCAGAATCCATTGCTACACCTGGAAGACATTCTGATTACGTTTACATTTAATACCTCGCGGAAGGGTTTAATACCCCGCGGAAAGATTACAATTTGTAGGTCTTGTTTCTTCTGGGATTTGAAACAGCAACCTGCAGGTTTACTAGAGGAGACCCTTACTCACCATGGTGCCCTATTTAATAGTGTATAACTATGTAATACCAGGACCACATATTTGACCTTTAGTGTGGCTCACTACTTACGTGTAATTACAGATGCTTGTACATTAAGTACAGTATATTGCATTACAACAGTGACAGATGAATGAGGTATATATTTGGGTAGCTGTATATTATTGCCTACTACCAATATCTATATATTGTTGCTTGTAGCTGGCAGATATACCTCTTGCTTCTATCTTCTATCTGTGTGAAATGCTTTCTCTTTCAGTGCAGGTGCTCCATCGTCTTATTTCGCCTGCATCTCGTCTGATTCTCGTCTATCGAAACTCTCTTTCTGCTTATCTGTCCTTGTCTCTCTTCACTCTGCTGCACTCTCCCCTCCTTTCCTTTCACCGCCCTGTGCCTCATCTAGTGTGCACATTTAAAGGGCTTCCCTGACTTCCTCTCACACCTGACTCCCTCTCCCCCACCGGCTGGATGTCTCAGTGAAGAGAATGCCATTCAGGCTCTCTTCGCATGAAAGTTTTTATTGTAACTTTTTCCACCCTGTCTGTACTCCTACTCAGGCTTTTTTAGGCAGTTTTTGGTTCAGAGTGTTCTATATTGAAATAATATTTTTCTTCGTACTTTGGTTCCCTATTTAATGTGTCATCGTCGGGTCTAACTATTGGCTTGTCCAAATTCTGCCTCCAGTTCTGCAGCTCTTCTGACCTCACAGTGATGTCATCACTGTTTGCTCCCAAAACAGCAGGAATAATAGTCATGGGAGTAACAGGAAACAGCCTGAATTAATGTCAGAGATTGAGCGACTACAGAAGCAGATCAGCTTTGACTGCTAAGTTCCTGCTTCTCCCTTGTGAGACGGATGAAGAGGGCAGAAGGCTGTATATTTGGTTACTAGACGCAGACTTCCAAGAGACCGTGAGCAATCGCCACTGTCATCATACGCCATCCCTCTGTGAGGACAGAGGGGATGATGTCAGCACTGCTCACTGGAGCCTCCAGTGATTACAAAGTGTGTGTTTTGGCACCATACAGTGAAGGGTGTCGGAGGTGCATGGATACCCAGGCACATCCAGGGGCCCAGCACTCAGGGAAGTGAACCCCCCCCCCACCACCACCACCACCCAGGTCAGCAAATTGTACTGTGGGGGATCCATATTTCTCCTGGTTGAAAGTGGCAGATCTTAGCAGTGAGGCCCAGGTGACAGTTTTTTAGGGTCCCCAGAATTTCTGGTTGCACCCCTGGTGGGTACAGTATGGTGCTGCGGCTTGGAACCTACACATATGCTAATGTCAGACTCTGGCAGAATCTGTGGCACCCAGCAGGCGGGTTACTTCATGCAAACCGCTGCACCAGCGCAGCGCAGGGCCTGTCGTCAACACATTTACCCCGCACTTGCTGTTTCACTCATGCTCTGTTTCATCTGTGCATTCTAATCATTCTTCACACACTTTTGAAGATTGTAACTGTTCCCCCTACACAGGTATGTTATTCTTTGTCTTCATCTCACACGCTTCTGTCATTCACTGTCTTGTTCATTCTCTGTACCATCTCTTGCTCTTTGAATCTCTTAAATCGTACTCTGCAGAAATGCAGCTGCCGCATTAGACTTGCTGACATGTTAACAGTATTCAATTCAATTTTTTTGTCCTCCATGAAAATACTGCACTGATTAACATAGATAAAGAAAGAGTTAATCATTAACGAGAGTAGTTTGTGCAGGAGATTCAGTCAGGCATTCTCTGTGGACTCCCTGTGGGGGCAGTTGGGGTCCTCTAAGTCTCACTGTTATGTAACAGTCACTCAGCACAGTACAGGACAGCTGCTACCTCATTGGCCAGTTATGAAAGCACTAGAAATCTGAGTGTTTTGATCCACTATGTGCAAAGGTTTTGTGATTTTTATTTACAAGACTGCATTTATGCTTTTTCTGATAGGTTTTTTTGTGGTTTGTGTAAGTGGTTATTAGCAGCATTTTTTTGGTGATTTTTGAATGCATGGAGTACATCTCTGCATCTCCTTTATTTTCATTTACTTGTGCATGTAACTGTATGCGCAGTTCTCTACTAATATGCATGTATCATTGAACTGGTTGTGAGAAAGTGAAAGAAAGCTGGGGGTCCCTTATGTAATAAACTCCACAGCAAAACCTCTGTTCTAGCAAAGGGAATTAAAGCAGAGGAAAGGTAGAGAGTGTGAGAGAGAGAGATTCACAAAGTGAAACGCTACCTGTGTTCTACGGCCATCTGAAGAAAAGGGTTGAGTGTCTACAGGAACATTAACAGGGAGGTGATGAGCAGAGGTGCCCGGAAATGCCTGTCACCCACCATCCAAACCAGTTAGTTAGTATAGCCCATGGGCATCATCAGTTTGTAACCAATATCAACCCCTATAACTGTATAGATTCATCCCCCTATAACTGTAGTGAAACCAGTGAGCCACAGAGCTTTAAAGCTGCGTTGATTGGAAAAGTGCAGGCTCTGTCGTTGAACAGAAATTAGGTCCATCGCTAAGTTTTAAATATACAGAGAGGCTGAATGAGTTGCAGCCCTTTTGAAGTTTTGAATCAAATGTTTTTAAAATAAACTAATTCGCAAGTTCGCTATTTCTAAGCTGATGTTTTACAGTGGAAAAAAAAACAGTAGATACGTCTAATGTAACTGAGGTTCGGGCTTGTATAGGTAAGAGTCTGGGTTTTGCACATTCACCCGAAAGCTTAATGTACGCTCGCTTTGGCCAGTTACTCGGAGCTCAATGATGCATTGACACACAGCCATGAGGGGCGCCGTTGGGATACAAAATACACCAGATAAACCGCTACGGCTGAATCATTTTGAAATACATACCCTATACCAGTTGCTCAGATCAGTCATTTTTTCAGAACTTATTTTTTTCCGTAAGAGCGGAACCTATAATATTAAGTAAAATACAACGGAAAAAACGAGAGTTCTTGATGCTTTATGTTGCGTTGAAAAGGTGCCATTAAACAGGTGCTTCAGTGTCTGAATTGTGGTCAAGTTGGTCTTGTCTTTAATTTAGAAGACCGAAAAGATATTATCTTAAGGTTATGAATGCAAGAACTGATCTCAGATTATACAAAGTAATAGTATAGGCCTATATTAATAACCATTTTTTGCGTACTATTTCTACTGCTAAATTCTTTAGGAACAGTGTTTGTGTATTAGGCATGTGGTTCTCTGCTATGACTTAATTTAATATGTGATTAGGATTAGAAGCAGAATTTTTAAATGTTGCTTTGCTATGTGATCCTATGTATAGGATTCCTGCACTTTACATAATAACGATTTTGTAAAAATTGTAAAAAGTTAGTGTAAAATATTTAAGCCTGTTAGTAAACATTAAAATGTGGTTGTTTGTATGTGCGTGCCTGCGATCACAGGGCTGGTACCTCTTCGCATTTCAGCGTGTTTCCATGTGCGTCTCTGCAACATCGCTCACTTTTGCGTTCCGCTAAATAAGCAAAACTGGCTTTACAAAAAACCCACATCGACCTTCAAAGTTGAAGACAAAAGGTGAGTGAGTTGCACCTCACCCCGTCGATACTTATCTCGTCTGACTTAAATTTCTAGACACGCAAATCGCACTAAAAATAAATCCCGGAAACGAGCCCTCCATGTGCGCCCCTCTTCCAGATGAAGCGCTCAGACCTGCGGCCAGACGGAAGTCTCCCCACTGCGCTCCGTGTTTCCACTCCGTGTCTGCGCCCCCTTCCCCCCCCGTGGGACCGCCGCCCTCTCCGTAACGTTGTGTCACAGGAACTCCAGTTGCCCTCGCATCGAACCCTGCGTTACATTTGCGTTTCGGGGTCCGTTCGGCTCAGGCTCTCACTCGGAATGCCCCAATGGCACCGTAGTGGAAAAAGGAGTCAGTAGGCTAGTGGTTCTCGGTCCTGTTCCCGGTACCCCTCCTACCCCCCTTCCAGGAACGTGATTGAGAACCTCTGCACTGGGCTGTGTTGAGGCAACGACCAATGCCAGAAATGGGAGTGTTGTTCTTCTCTATCCCCGCATCCTGTAGTAGCTGAGTGTGGCTGGTCCTGTAGGCCTTCGCCAGGGCTTCATCAGCCAGGTGCTGCGTGGCTACTCTCCCTGCTACCTCATTATCGGTATGGAGAAGTTCAGACGCATCGACATAAATGGCATAAACACGACATGCTGTATGTTCCCAACAAAGCACACCAGAGGTCAGTTTAAGCCTTTTGCTTAACATTGATAAAGATAAAAACCTGCATTTTTCTCAATTAAAAAAAAAGTACACAATTTATGCCAAATTAAACAGATGTAAAAGTCATATCAAACAAACAAGGAGAGATAGTTTTTTATGGTTTATTAGTCTTTCGAGTTCAGCTGGTCCCTTCTATACAAAGTCATATTTGTCAGTGACTATACATCCAAGTTGAGTGTTTCCTTCCTTTTTAGCTGTATATTTAAACAAACGACATCACACGCAGTGTTGCCCATGTGGTGCGTCAACACTGAAATTGGGCAGAGCTCACCTCAGTGCTGTAATTGGAATATCTTGAACTGCGATCGATTTGGCCTGTTTCCGTCTCGGGCGGTTTTTTCCCCTCGCTGTACTGCGGGGTATTTGCGGAGATGCCACACCGTGTACCGGACGTCTTACAGTAGAGTCTAGGGTTTACTGTAACTCCGGTAGATCCAGGAAGGTTTACTGTCACTGTCTGCTCTCTTGGTCAATCCTAGCCTTTCTCTGGTGCACATGAAGATGAGTGTGTACATTGCGTATATCCTTCGTAATCCTTCTTGCGTCGTGTGTATCCTTGCGCTGCTCAGTGGGTCTGTTATATCTGTCCCTCACCTGTCCCTCAGAAACACCTAAACTGACTTTCACTTGCCCGCTCTGCAGTTGTCCGTACACAGAGAGCAAGGCTGCAGGCCTCTGTGAAAAGGGTCCCTGACAGCAGAAAGAAAGTCGATCATTCAGCAACTCGTTCGTATGACTGAAAGTGTCCGTGTGGACTATCTGGGCTGTAATACTGTATGGTGCAGTGTGTCAGCGAGACTCAGACCTGTACATGCTGTTTAAAATGAACAAAGCCATCTCCTATGAAAGTAATACACCTCATCCATTTTTTCTCTGTCTTAGGAAACATAGTGCCCAAAAAGACACATTTGAGTGAGTACATTCTTATGTTTATTTACCTTGTTTATTATGCAGTTTGTGTCAGTGTTGTTGTGCTGTGTCTATTTTGTAGTTCTTCAACCTGTTCATTTCGTCAGATCAAGGTGTTTAGAGTCAACACAGAGTACTTGTGCTTTGGAGTGCTTGAAAATGCTGACAGTTTTGCAGACTGATTGTCTGCTGTCTTCTTTGTGTGTGTGTGCATGTAAGTGTGTGTGTGTGGGGAATGTTTATATTACATTGTGGGGACCATTTTTCAGGGCCCCACAAAGACCTGTGACTATAATCGAAAAACTAAAAATGCCAAAAGTCTCGTATTTTGATGGTTACTTATGGTTACGGTTAGGGCTGGGCAGGGGTTAAGGTTGCCATGTTGGGATTAGAGTTTTCCCCATAGAAATTAATTGAGAGTCCCCACAAACATACTGTAACCTGTGTGTGTGTGTATGAGAGAGAGAGAGATATGGCCTGCAAACATAACTGTGCGAATGTTTGCCAGGGGCTCTTCATCCTATGTTCTGGCAGCTTGGCCGCAAACAGGATGCATGTATGTATATGCTGGCATAGACCCAGGGTTTTACACACCTGCAATCTATTATTGTGCTTTGCTGCAATGTGCCTATTGGAAGCCATCGCTATGGCCAACATCCAGATAGCGCATCTACACCTGCTTCCTCGCCTAACTTCAACTCCGTCTCCACAAAAGATGCTGAATTTACAACCTCCGCTTAGAGTCGTACATTCAGCTCGGCCTATATATCCTTTATTTCTGACAAAACCCATTATTCATCATTTTGTGATATTTAAACTGCCCTGACTTGATGGAGTTTGAATACTAATCATTACATATTTTTCTTCTTCATATTTTCATATTTTTAAATATAGATCATTACGAGTTCAATGAAACTGGTATTGTTATTAATTGCAATTCGTGTTTTAGAAGCTTTTTAAATTTTCCAGATTTGGTGTTCTGTTACACAATAACATTTTGTTTTGGAAGAATTTAGTTCATTATAATTAAAAGACTGAATGCTGGAGGGACACATTTTAGAGTTTTTTTTGGAACAAAACAGGACTGTGTGTGTCCTGTATGTGAAATATATGGTGTATTTTTACATGAATCTGTTATGTTTCTATGTAGTATTTTATAGTAAATTTGAAATAACTTTTTATGAAGAATGTCTGTGTAAGTTGTTTGTTATCTCCCACCAGGGTCCTTCTATTGGCCCGGCAAGGTGTCAGTTGGCACTATGGGCGTGGTCAGGATGCCAGCTGTCTCTTATGGCTCAGTTGGGTACAGACTGAAAAAAGTTAGAGATGGGTGCCGTATTGGCCGTACTCTCTGTGTGACAGTCAGGTGTTAAGGAAGAGTGAAAAAAAAAGGAAAGAGACGGGTCGGCGTGGGGGCAGGTGTTTCGCTGAGTGTGGTTAGTGTCAAACGCAAACAGTCAGGTGCTGGGAAGAGGGGGGGGCAGAGCTAGAGTTGAGAGGGGAGAAAATCGGAAGTCAGAAAGTACCTGGGTGAAGCATGCATGTGGGATATCCAGCACAGATGCTCAGATGCTGAGAGACAGAAATAAAAGTGCGGTAGGAGCAGAAAGAGGCACAAGTTAAGGCAAATTGGTGTTATCTCGGCGTCCCTTGTTTAGCGAGAACGAGTGAAGAGAGACTGAGACAGACTGAGGGGGAAGGAACGCTGAGAACGGCAAGAGATGAGAGGTAGGCATTTGTTTTTCTACACGAACTTTGTGTCTATACTTTCTATATTGTTCTGCTTGTATGCTGTCGGAAACCAACTTTTGAGGAGGGATGTATGATGTGTGCAATGAAAGGTGATAAGAATTTAATTAACAATACACAAACTTCTGATGTACTGAAACGTTGACACCCATGCGTACACACACACGCACACACACACACACACACACACACGCACACCACAAACACACAGACACATCAGTTTCTAAAAAAGGACTGATCTGAATTGTCTAAGTATTCTTTAGGAATTTCAAAATAAATATTGCTATAAAACAATAAAATTATTTTTCTTGCTGTAAAATGAAATTATTTGTTGTACCTTAAGTTGTATGTTTTAGGTTTTTATGTGAAATCCATGCAAGCAATGGTGAATTCTATCCCTTGCAAAAGAACCACAAGTGAGGGAATGCAGTTTAAAAGCGCAATTTAATCTTTTTACTTATAAATGCGCAACATTTGATTGGTTTTAGATGATCTTGAATGGTTGCCCTTCTCATTATATTAAAATGCATAAGAAAAAGTATTTATAAAAAAAGTCTGTGTATCAATGTTCTGGTAACAGTTTTGAAGCCATACGCTACGATAAAATTTGCTAATCGTCAAATGATGGAAATGACATTCTGGAGAACATGTTTTATGCATGTTTGTCCTTCAGCTTGAGTCACACTCACTCCACATCCAGCAAGTTTTTTGTCTTTGTTTTTTCACGCTGTTCCCTCTGCTTCCATTGGCCTTACAGTGTTAGTGCAAACATCTCCGCTGAATTATCCTCAATGTTCTCGGCCAATTGCTGTCTCAGTTTTTCATATAGTGTAGTTCTGGGTTTCAGAATCGATGAAGGATCAAAGTAAGTACAATTATCATCATAGCAATAATCATCACAACAAATCAATACAATGTAGAAATACATAAGAAATGTTATTTTTGTTGTAAAGAAGTTTTTTCTATTTTACTTTTGGCAAATGTACCTCTTCAACTTTTAAAATTTCAGTTAATTTTGCATTTTTTTTAATAGTTAAAGTTTTATACAGATTGAATTTCTGGGAAAGAGAAATAAGATGAGTTTGAAAATTAGGCACAACAAATAAATGAGTCTAGTGAATTAGTGATTCGTTTCTTATGTAAGTTTTGCCAGTTTTCACATCTGAAGCTGTTGTTAATGTGCAGACGTTTCCTGTTCATTTACATTTCGCCTCTGTTTTGCCCATTTAAAATGTATTTTCATTGAACGCTTGGTTATCTGTGGTTTGCCTCATACTTCCTCAGCTTTTTGTTCTGCATATATATTTATGCATTTCTATTTCATTCAGTCAAAGGAGTGCATGTAATTAGGTCCTTAAAAATGATGCTGTCACCATATATGGAAACATGGGATTAATAGAATTAGCAAAGAGATACAAAGACCTGAAACTTCCGAGAGCTTAAATGATGCTGCATCTCCTGTATTTTTATATAACTTTAGTTGGTTAGCTAACACCAAATCGTATCTGATGTCAAACAACCAATATCTGCAGTGAAGAGCACAACTTTGACGTGACTTTGAGATTGTGTTTTGTTTTTTAAAGTTTTTTTAGTTTTTTTTTTTTTTTGACAGTTTCAAAACTGCTATGAGACATTCACTGCTGGCCACCCACATTACTCATTTGCAAAACCACTGTGCGAGGTGAAATATTCCTGTATAAATAATAAGATCTTTTAGACACATCAGGCCTCCAGTGTTGCTACAAATGGCACATTAATATTGTGCCAGCGTCATGAGGGCCAGCAGATACATGGCAAATTTTGATAGTCAATGTAGGACATGATCATCTGAAAAATCACCGCTCTCTTAGTAATCACCCTTATTACTCATATTTTGTTCTGTGTGTCTTAGATATTTTTAATCACTGTAGCAGATCCTGAGATAACACTTCACTTAAAGCAATCATATAACTGCATTAAACATACCCTCATAATGCATTATAATGAATTCATAAAGTATTATATATTATAAATGCAGCTATAAATATTTATACAAAGGCATAACACATTATAGCCATGTTCACTATGCATTATGAATGCTCATCTATGACGCACTATAAATACCTTCATAATGGATTAATGTCGATTATAATGCATTGAAGGTATTTATAGTGCATTATAGCTGCGAACATTTATAATGCATGGTAAATATGGCTGTAATATGTCATGCCTTTGTATAAATATTTATAGCCATGTTTATAATACTTTACGAATGCATTACAATGCATTATGAAGGTATCAATAATGGAATGACTGCTACCAATCTTTATTGTATGTGTTACTGTGTTTCCAAAGCAAATATTGAGAAAAATACTGTTACCCACCAATGACTGGAGTTTTAGCGTATTGGTAACAGGGCTGCAGGTAACGCTAACGTTTGTGAAACGCAGGCAGCGCAGAACCACTCAACGCAAGAGCGTAGGGAGGAAAGCAGGGCTTAATAATTGCGTATGCTGGATGGGTGTGGGCGGGAAGGTGGGGCAACCACAGTGCCTCCACATGCACCAGTTCAGCATGCAACCTGGCACCAGTGCGGGTGGTCCTGGCTGTGCAGCTGCTGCAGCTCCCAGTTGCGCAGGAGACGTAGCACTGGAGGAGGCCTTGAGCAGTGCTCTGTTCAGCGATGGCTGTCAGCACATTTATTCTCACTGCCGAAGCTCCCGGCCTGGATCCGGCACTGTACCTATGTCCACATGCAGTATTTATGTACTGGTTTACCGCGTTTCTGCCTAAAATTAGAGGCAAGTGTGCCGTTCAGGTCTGCGGCCTCGTTCTAATTCCACGACCCGCATTTCAGGAGAAAGCTGCACCGTAGACTCAACTTGTCCAAACCAGGCCAAATCAGATGCCAGGTGTTGAGGGTGTGGTAATTGACCGGACGCACTGGCTACAGCCATCTGAACAACCCAGGGTGAAGCTGGGGGGGGGGGGGGGGCATTCAGCCAGGATATGGGCATCGTCATGCCACCTTCCGACGGGACAGTGAAAATTTCTGGTTTGACCAATCCAGTCACATAGGGTTTGTTTCCATAGCGTTACATAACGATCTGGAACAGTTAGATAGCTGGCGTCATGGTAGAATGTGAATTACGGTACATGGCCAGAAAACATCACAATCAGAATAAGAACAGTCACACTCAGAACACCTAAGAAAAGTGATTCCCCACTGAGTTGAATACAGCACAACAGAGCTTGTGTTTCACGTAAAGGAATAT